TCAGATTTTGAACCATCAGCGTAAATTAAAAATGGTTAGCGAATATTTTGAAGTAGACGGGAAAATTCGGTTTTGTATTCATAAGTTGAGGTATTGCTTTTGAGTAATCAAGAGAGACGGAGCATTGTTTTTGGGATTTTGTGGATCCAAGGTGGGTTTTGGTTTTCTATATTGTATAAAGGCAAATTCTTAAGGAAATGAGCTGCTGAATAAATTCTTTCTGACAATGGGAGTGTGGAATTTGCTTTGTTTCTAAAAGTATTAGAACATTAAGGGTTAAAAATGTAGTTAGGGGTAGGATGTTTATTTTGGGAAAGTAGCCTTGAAATGTAGTCAACAGCCACTTTTTTTCCTTCTAAATAAAAGAGGGGGTATTCCGGCCTCAAAGCAGAGATTAAGGATGGGGCTTGTTCGAAATGCGCCAGTCGCTATTCTAATGCCTATATTGTGCACTGTATCGAGTTTGTTTAAGTTCCGATACCGGCCAGAACCGTATATAAATCATCGATAGTCTAATTTCGAACATACCAGAGCTTGATACAGTTTTATTAACGTAAGTCTGTCTGAGCCCCAGGAAGTGCCGCTAAGATAACGTAAGGTAGTTATTTTTTTTGTAGTGGCTGTTTTTAGAGCAGAAATGTGCGGTTCCCAAGTTAGCCTTCGGTCAAAGATCATGCCCAAGAACCTATGTTGGTTCGAGTAACGGGATTATGGAATTTCCGAGGTAGATTTCGGGTGAGTTAGGGGATTCTATTAACAGCGTCCTGTAGTTTGTATCGTATAGTGTTAATGTTGTCAGATCGGCAGAAAATGGCTAGACCATCTGAAAATAGTAATGGTTTGACGCCTCTTGGCAAGTTGAGGTCTAAATCATGTATTGCTATACAGAACAGAGTTGGGCTGAGGACACAATCTTGAGGGACACCGTTGGACTGTTTGTGGTTCTCGGATAACTTGCTTCCTATTTGAAGTCTAAAGTGACGGCGTGTGAGAAATTTCCTAATATAGCTGTAGGTTTGGCCTTTTATTCTAACGGATGATAATTTATTGAGGATTATGGATTATGGAGTGATTTATGTTATCGAAAGCTTTTTTCATATCGAAAAATATTGCTATTGTTTGTTGTGCGTTGATAAAAGTATATTGTGTTTCGGCTTCTAATGTTTATTATGACTGATTACCATAACCATCCTTCTCTTCATTATTCACTACAGTCAACCGTCAACCCACAATTACATTTCTTATATGAGAAGGAGTTGATCGGGGAGTGCGGCCAAATAAGTACTAAATTATAGAAATGTTGCAACTGCTTCCCACAGTGCTACATCCTACAATCCTACATCCTAAGACCTGCAAAGTGGTTCCAAACGTTGGCAAAAAAAATTAAATAATACTATTTCTATAATTTAGTATTTATTTGACCGCACCCCCTCCCTCCCTCCCCCCGATCAACTCCTTCTCATATTATATCACGGTCAACCATCTCTAACAATAGCAATATTTTTCGATATGAAAAAAAAAAAAAAAAAAAAAAAATATATATATATATATATATATATATATATATATATATATATGATTATATTTATTCATTTCATGTATTTATAATTTATTAACTATTATCTGTTTTATTGAAGGAAGTTAGTCGACTTTTCTTGGTGATGACCCATATGTTTGGTTTGAAACGTTGGCAACAATAAAAAAATTACTGCGTCCTGACTATTTATTACCTAAGAAAAATTTAAACTGATAATATACATTTTGGTGTTAAAGTTGAATGTATATTTATAATGTATATGTATAGGTGGCCCCAGGGACACCTATGCATATACATCATATGTCTCGTGGTCCCATTCCCTTCTCAACATGGTAATTAATGCGCTTTTAATTTAATTTAAATTTTAAATTTACTAAGCAAAAAAACACTTTTGATCTTGCCCATTTACTCAGATTTACAGCTGCAATAAAAGGTGTAGGTATTTAGAAAATTATATTTAAATGTTATAAAAATTATTAAAATTTCATCATGAAAATTGCTCATAATCTGAGAATTATCCATATAAACATTTTAAACAAAGAATGACAAAAACTGTTAAATAATTCTTGTTTTAGGTAAGATATCAAGTATTTTGTTTATGATTATTTGTTGTTCAATTTGGCATTAGAACATGTCATTAGGGCGGTAATGCGTACCGAAAAAGTGTTGGATCTGGGTGGGACAACACCCATGCTGGGATATGCAGATGATCTGGTACTGTTAAGCGAAGACGTGGAAACTATAAAACTAAATACGACAACGTTAATGAAAGCCGGTAAAGAACTAGGACTCGAAATAAACGCAGATAAAACAAAATATATGGTTAGCTGCAAAAATGGCGATACTACTGGTGATATCGATATAGATGGTAATAGGTTGGAACAGGTAGAGAAATTTAGGTATCTAGGTTCTACGATAACTAGAAAAAACGAAATTGAAGAAGAGATTAAAGTTAGACAGAAGGCGGGAAATGCTTGTTATTTTTCTGTGACAAAACTACTTAACTCTTGTCCTTAAACTTAAAAATTAGAATCTATAAAACCATTATCTTATCTACAGTTCTTTATGGATGCGAAACGTGGCCGCTTAAATTAAAGGATGAGCAACGTCTTAAGGTTTTTGAAAATAAAGTATTGCGTAGAATATTCGGACCAAAGACGGATGAATCAACCGGAGAGTTCAGACAGTAATACAACATCAAATTGTGTGAACTGTATCCAGGTAATATAATTAAGGTGATTTCATCCCGGCGAATCAAATAGGCTTGTGTAATTGTTGAGCTTGGTAATGTGAGAATTCCTAAAAAATTAAAATGATGCACCGAATGGTAAACGTCTGAGGGGTTAAACAGAAGCGAACGTGGGAAGATTGGATTAAAGCTGATCTGAAGGGACTAGGTTTGGACGGCGAACGGTGGAGAGAAGTGTGTAATAAGCGATTGGGCATCGAACCTTCGGGTTCACTAAGCCTTTTATTATTTATTATTTGTTGTTAATTAATAAATTTGATTTAGCATTGTTTAACTCCTTTCATAAACAACTAAAAAGAATTAGATATATATGATATCTAGCAGCTATTGAAAACTATACTAAACTAAATTAGAAAGTTTCTATTATTATTTGACTGCTTTCAATTTGGTTTCATAAAATAGAAGATATTATTCAATGAATTTTCTCATTTGATTTTATTAATTTTGTTGGTAAATACTTGGAGTATTGGTCGAAATGTAAAATTAGTTTTAATCCTTGGAAATAAGATATTTATTTTTAATTCAATAGTTTAAGAAATAAATAACAGCTGTTTGACAACAGACAAACATTTATAGCCATTTAACAACTGAGTATAATGATAAAGAGTTTAAAATAATGAGAAGTATTGGAGTAGATTTACATCAAAAGTGAGATTCAATGCTCCACTAGAGTGATGTCATGATTGACAGGGTATAGTCAGGTTTGGCCATAGCAAGAAGGGGTTCTTTTTAGTGAAAATGAAAAGGATCTATCCATACTGACAAAGATCCTTGGTATGGCCCCAAACTGAAGTGAAAAGGAACTTTGATCGTCTCTTAAGAGAGCATAGGTCCATAATGATAGTCATGATCTAATTAAAGCAATAATAATTTTAATAACCACTAATAATGCCGGAAAATATGATTGTCGTTGAGAGGTACTTATATTGCTTAAACAAATTAAATATGCTTGCAGATTTATCACTTTGGTCTAGTTTAGGACACATTCAACTGGCTACTTTCAAAACTCAAAATGAGTAATACTTCAAAACTAGTATCTCAGGATGTTCTTCAAATGAAATAAAATGAATCTAATAGAAAACATAAAACCATACAAGAATGAAAGATAATTTCAATACAATTGGAACTGTAATTTAAATATTATACATTATAATTAAGTGCACTTAATACAAGAACACAAAATTGCTTCTATAAAATGGTCCAGCCTTTTGAACTTCATTAGAAGAACGAAAAGATTTGAGTAAGAGTTGGAGGTAGTATTGTTTTTGGAAATGGCAAATTAAGGAATAGCCTCTATAAAATGGTCCAGCCTTTTGGACTTCATTAGAAGAACGAAAAGATTTGAGTAAGAGTTGGAGATAGTATTGTTTTTGGAAATGGCAAAAAAGACCAATAGGCCCCTCACCAGGACCAGTAAGTGCACTTGATCTAGAACTTTGAACTAATCGCCCTGAGTTGAAACATTGGAAAACAGTTGAAAAGAAGATCTTGTTTGATCAACTTGAATTGGATAGATGGTCAACAATATCTCCATCATTATAATTCCAATGTCATATGAATGAAAGGTATTTAGAACCTTTTATCAATCTGTAACTTATATTTCTAACAGATTACTATTTTCAGCTCAGAAATTCCTCTTTAAAAATTACAAATAAGTGTAACAAAAAATAATATCGAAAAACTTAAAATATTTATGATGGGTAGTAATAGAATAACCATAAATATATTATAATATAAGGTATATGAAAGATCAAAATAAACAAGAAAGACTATGTTTCAGCTCTTACTTGTATGTAACTTTCTACACAGCATTATTAAAGACAGATTAAACTAACATGGCACTTGAATTATGAATTCTCGCTTATAGTAAACATAATATAATTGATTGATTACTTACATAAACATAATCTGATCAGATTGAAACTAAAGAATATGAGAACCAGTGAATGAATTAAGGATCTGAACTGTTATTGAGATTTATGTAAGTGTCAAAAGCAATGAGCTAAAATTTTTATATTAGAACTGTTTTTTTTTACATTGATTCAATTATTCATACATAATATTAACATGACGAAAAACAGTTCAGATCTTAAATTAAATTATTGTTATTCTAAACATACCACAATCAAATTTAAATATTTTCCCCATTATGAAACAAGATAATTTGAGATCTTTCACGAGTATTGGAAACATATGTGTAAAAAATCCACTTACAAAATTAATTCTTTCTATAAGTAGAAACGTAAAACACAAATCAAAAATCCAAATAATTAATTGTCAGATTAGAAGTGAGAGGTAACTGTCATGTTTTAGATAATGATAACAAACAGTGTTGTAACCTTGGTGGTTTGGATATTCTGGTTTAAACTTGTTAATATATTTGTCAAGTAAACATTATCATTGTAATTAAATAAGGTAATTGTTCAAAATCACTATAGGGTATTTTTTTCAATCTGAATAAATTATGAGTGGCCATAAAGAAAAAAGTTATTAGCAGATATTCAAATGTTGTAACCATTTATAAATAAATACAATAAATAAATGAATGAAATATGAAACTAAAACCAATTAAAAAAGTGGGAAGTTCGACTATATGGCTAAACTAAGGAATAGAAATAGGTACGAAGGTACTTTACCACGCCCTATGTTCCAATTATTGAAATTTCAGTCTATATCAGTAGCGGATCCAGGATTTAATTTTTGGGGGGGGGGCTTCAGCCCGTAGGCTTTTTTTTCATAAAAATAACGATAATTACTTCGGAAAAAAAGAAAGAAACTACGTATATGAAATGGTGTTTAAGTGATTCTTGAAGTCCTGTTAAATGTAATTAAACGAACAATAATACTTTCAGAGATAATTTTTTTTTTTCCATAAACCATAGTTATATTTTGCCATTTTGGGGGGGGGAGCTTCAGCCCCAAAGCCCCCCCTCCTCGTAGATCCCCCCGTGGTCTATATTCAGAGATGATTATACTTAGCAACATTTCTATGACTCATTAATGAAGGGTGTACATGAATGAATCATAAAATTATTGGATATGTTGCTATTTATACGTGAAGATTTTAACACATTTACCGCAGAAAATTTGTAGTATTGAAGAATTGAGTTCATTCCACTTCCCCAAAAATTCAAATAAAAATAAAAATATGTAATATATTCAATTGCTTTTTTAACATATTTTCAAATATACCCACTCGCAAAAAAAACAACAACTAAAATACAATTTTTTTTTAAAATTTATTTAATCAAATGTACAACTATATAAACAATACAACTAGTAAAAATGCACACATTAGAAATCATGACCAGTGGTAGCACTCCCTATTTAATTCTAGGTGAGAAGATCACGAGACCATCTTCTTTTCAGACGCCTAGGGAGATTATTAGGAATTGAGGAAGAAGCAAGGTTGGAAACAAGTGGATTCGGATGGGACTGGAGTTTATCACGAAAGGTATGTTGCTCGGACTAAATCAACGGCATATGGGACATTAAGGTCTTTATGAATGGTTTTATTGGTGACAAAATATGGGCCATTAAAAATTTTACGAAGGCTTTTGGATTGTAAGGATTGGATACGATAGGAATTCGATGGTTTGATAGAGCCCCAATGCTCAACTCCATATGTCCATATGAGTCTTATTTTGGTTAACTAGATGAGTCTTTTGTAATTAATTGAAAGCTTAGAGGATTGGTCTAGTAAGTGTTGGAGCAGTCGGAAACGTCGTGCAGTTTCTTGTCATATGCCGTATACGGATTCTTAGTGAGACGTCTATCCAAGCGGATTCCTAGGTAGCGGATTGTTCAACAGGAACAAGTGGAATATCATTGAAGGATATTGTAGGACAAGAAGAAGTAATGGGGAAGACAACATGCCTTTTAACTCCAGCTCTATCTTCGCTCTTCGCAGGATTCTAGCAAGGTATCAAAGGGCATACAATAAATACAATTGTCAATCCGGACAAGATCAAGGTGGGTGGCGAAACTTCGGAAACAGCAGAACCACAAGCAACTAGTATATTATCTTTTAGGATATTGTCCAATCAAGATGGTCAATGTTCTTCTGTCCTTAGGTCAATGCCATGTGGACAAAAGAGATCACGCATTCCTAATATCAAACCCTACTTATCATAAAACCAGTTTCGTAGAAAACAGAAATGGCAAATTGGATCTTAAACTTCACGTACGATACAAAACAGTTTCGGATTTAGTGGAACATGAAGCGCAACAACCGCAAGCACCACCTAAGTTCATTTTGCAAAAACTACAAAGTTCTAGGTATTTTCTGAACCATCTGTAAAGTATACCGCCGCAGAAGAAGCAGAAACAGATATATAAGCAAACGCGAAATCATAAGTTCCATAAAAAAAAAAAAATAAATAAAAAAAACAAACAGTTTCTACTCTAAAATCAGCACTCAGCGCAGTAGCAATTTCGAAAGCACATTCGGAAGCAACAACCATCACATCATATGGCAAAACACTCAGGGCAGCAGCAGTTTCTACCACGTTCGGTAAAGCAAATATCGCCACATCACTCTGCGGAGCTGCGTTCACAAATTCATTTGACGCACTTAGCCCAGCATTCAATGCGGCAACTACGAAAATATTTAGTGTAGCAGCAAGAATTCCAGCATTCAGTCAGGTACCATCAGACACAGCAATCATTCGAGGCTTATTTACTCTCACAGAAGTCTCAGTGGCAAGAACCAGAAGTTGACGGGTTTTGTATGGAAGGAGATCGGTTGAACTGTTTTGAGCTAGAAATAGTACAACGGAAAATTTGGGAGATGTGTGGTTTCCAGAAGAGGATTTGATAAAAATAAAAACACCAATTTTTTTAACGAAAGTTTGGAACGAAATAGGTGAGTTTTTTAGGAGAAGATCGGGAGGTACAGGATTGGATTTTATGAGTACGGGGGAACCGATAAGGATAGCTTCTCGGCGTTTATGATGAGTCTATTGCGGTTCGCTCAAGATTCTGTCCATATCTTCCTGAAGTTGTGGGATTGTTGCAGTGGAATCAGCCAAAGGAAATGATCAAAGGAAAGGTGTATTTGGATGTCATCGGCTATTTCTCTAGATATTTCTCTTAAAGTCTTAATAGAATGTTGTCCTCATACAGATGGTATTGACAGTGCAGGATAGAGGACGGAAGGTCATGGATATAGATGGAAAAAAAGGTGGGAGATAAAGAGAGCCCTTGGGGAACGCCTCTGGACAAGAATAGAGAGTCTGATGGGGGATTATTAGGGAATAATATATAGTGGGAGCGACCGATGAGAAAGGATTGGAACCATTTAAAGACACTAAAAGACATGGAGATGTTTTTAAGTTTGGTAAGTCGTCAAAGGCTTTGGGAAAACCAAGGAGAATAAGGATGGCGAGTTTCTGTTGGTCTATAGCTGTATGGAGATCTTGGGAGATTTTAATGAGGTCGGAATGGGTGGAGTAGTCAGGTCTAAAACCGGATTGATGGTAGTTCAGAAGGCCATTTTGCTCGAGATAGTGGGATATTGGGATTGAACTAATCGTTCTCGCCGTAAGGCATGCAATTCAAACCATTTCGGCACAAACATATCCCACACCGTGAAATATCTCATTCCACAAACAAAAAGAAAGAAAAAACAAAACTCAAAGATTGGTGATTACCAGGCAAGGCACAAACGAGAGGAAAATTTCTTGGTTTACAATAAAAAAAGAAAGAAATTATGCTAATAAATTACAATTAACTTAATATAAAATGATTCCTCATTAAATGTAAAAAAAAATATTCATATCAATAAAAGGTTTCTCCAGAAGGGAGAGGCACTAACTTGTGCACCGGTCGCGGCAAAGTGGCTGTAGCAGTCCTCAATTTTACTACCCTGACTACACTGTCATGTCCTGAAAGTGTCTCTATTATCCTGGCAAGCCGCCTCTCCTGCAGTGGAACATATTTTTCAAGTAGAATTACAAGGGTTCCCTCCTTTAAATTTTCCCTCTCAGTATACCAATTGTTGCGAGGCACAAGATTATGGAGGTATTCATTATTCCATCTCTTCCAAAAATTACGAAGAGTCTTGGAAATCATCTCCCAACGGTTTGTCAAAGGAAACACAGGTGAGTCTTCTTTCTGGTGCGCGTTCTGGCCTGGCAAGGTGGGGTTGACCTATAAGAAAGTGTCCATGGGTTAGGTAATCCAGGTTATCCGATGGTTGACTGCTAATGTTGCAGATAGGACAAGAATTGAGAAAGGCTTCAACACGTACCAGAAGAATATAAAATTCCTCATATGTCAACGCATGATAGTGGAAAACAGCAAGAAGGTGTCACTTAGCGGATTTACTTGCTGCCTCCCAAATACCACTGAAATGAGGATATGCTGGAGGAGTAAAGGTTCACTTCATACCCGTCCGACCCAAATTGTCAGAAATGGGTTCGCTTTGGCACTTAACAAATTGATGAAGCTCCTTCAACTTCTTGGATGCTCCAACAAAATGTGTTCCACAGTCACTATAAATATGCAAAGGCAAACCAAGGCTGGCAATAAATGAAGGACTGGATAGGTCACAAGTTCTAGATGGTTGGCCTTGGTGGGCATGTACACAAAGAGAGCTAACTAACATTGCGCTTTCTGGAAATCGTCATAATGAATGGGCCACCATATTCTATTCCAACCAGCTGAAAGGAACGACCCTCGGTCACCCTGCCAGACAGTAAGTACTCATTTTTGGAGCCTGTGGTTTAGTATTATTTTTGTGGCGCTTAACACATTTATAAATCCGGCTTCTAACGAGTCTTCTTAGAGAAGGGATCTAAAATTGATGATGAATGAGCGACTGGACCAACAGGGGCTCACTCTGCAAGGAATACCTGTAGTAATGGTCACACAAAAGGACTGCTAAATGAGAATCTTTAGGTATCAGCAGCGGGTGCTTACTTTTTTCTTCGATTGTGAAATACTTCAATCTACCTCCTACCCTGAGAGCTCCGTCCTTATCCAAACATGGTGTGAGCCTGTTTAAGGAACCCCTATATGGTTTGCCACCTTCAAGACAATCAATTAATTCAGTGAAGAATTTCAACCGGTCAAAAGCAAATTATTGAGTGAGTTTCTTCCCAGCATCTTCCCCGAACTGTTAAATACGACTCTAAGTTTTGTCGTGGAAGAATCCTTAATGACTCCACGATGGGTCATGACGTATGGAGAAGGGTTCTTGGCGAGGAGGACATGATCCAATCTTACATATTCATCCATCTGTGCAGCATAGGCAGTACCAGATTTCCCCTAAATTTATTTCCGGATTTCTAAATCTGCGTAGAGCTGTCTCTTCAGTGGAATCAAGGTCAATCTGCTG